CTGAGCGTGTGACTGCCCTTGACCTTCTGCCCCCCATCCCTCACACTCTAGGCCCCTGGGAGAGGAGGCTATGGAAGGGGGCACGCTTGGTCTGCAAGGGATGCCTATGCATGTATGGTGGCCTTCCAGCACAGGTACAGCTCATCACACCCACCAATACTCTATCCTAGTTCCTGCACACTCTCCTGTCCACATGCTCCGCCAGCATCTTCTGCAGCAGTGTATTCTTCCACTCAGTCACGCCCTGCTCAAGCGGACGGACTGCATTTGCTCCTTCAACAGGTTATCCCTAGCAAGTTTTTGCCTTTGGATTTGTGCAGACAGCTGGTGGAGCCAGAGGAACATGCAGCATGCTTGTTGCTACACCTGCTGTAATGAAAAGTGAAGGGCAGACTTTACTGGAGATACACTGTTGAGCATAAAGTCCCATCTGATGGCATAAAAGGAAGGTCTGTCTAAAGACAGCAGGGATGTGTTATGTACTAGGCTACGGTTATGCATTTAAGCCTCCACTATGCAGCAAGTACACCACAGAGATCTCAGGGGAGCAGCTGGACTCAGTTTGGTGGTAGGCATGGTAAGGGACAGGGCAGGGCTCGAGTCTGCGGGGGGGCAGGAGAGGGTCTGGGTATAGCAGCAGGGCAGGGGCTTATGTGGTGACCGTGTGTTCAGCAGCCCCTGTTTGCTGGGAGAAGGCAACGTTCCCTTCCCACAGGAGTATGCGGGTGGGGAACATGGAGGTCTGAGCATAGTGGCAAGGCAGGGCCTCAAGCCATACTTCACTGAGGATGAACAAAGAGGTTTACTTCCCAGACCTCAGTGATAATGAATTGACCATTCATTAACAGTGGGAATAGGTCAATGGAGGGATGATAGGAGTTACTATAGAGAACTTTCTGGGTGTCTGGCTGATGAGTCTTGCCCACATGCTCAGGGTTTAGCTGATCGCCATATTTGGGATCGGGAAGGAATTTTCCTCCAGGGTAGATTGGCAGAGGCCCTGGAGGTTTTTCGCCTTCCTCTGTAGCATGGGGCACAGATCACAGCTGGAGGATTCTCTGCATCCTGGGGTCTTCAAACTATTTGAAGGCTTCAATATCTGAGATGTAGGTGAGAGGATTATTGTAGGAGGGGTGGGTGAGATTCTGTGGCCTGCACTGTGCAGGGGGTCAGACTAGATGATCATAATGGTCCCTTCTGACCTTAAAGTCTATGAGAATAGCTTTCCCTGCGCCATACCACCCTTCTCCAACTCACGCAGAGCGAGAGAGCGCGGATGCTGACTGAGCCGGGACCCCACGCTGCAGTGCTTTGTGCGCCATGATGCCAGAGCACTCACTGCTGCTTTGGAGTGGAACGGTGTCCTGCTGTGGAGGACGATTTAGGCAGGCTACCCAGAGACCTTATGAGAAGAGTTCCTTTAGGAGAGCTTTATGGAGATGAGCGAGGAGGAGTTCCCACTCCATCTCCAGACATGTTTACAAGCCCTTGCTGCACAGTTCTGCCTGAATTGATGCCTCTCCCTACCCAGCAATGAGGACCCATGGAGGACCATGCTGGTGCTTGTTTGCAACCCTGGGAATTCATGGTCAGCTGTGCTGCTGTTCTGAGGTCTGCCCACCACACTGGCCATACAAGAAATTAAATTCAAATTTTTGTGGGGCTTTCCCAGTGCACCTGGAGAGCAGAAGAGTCGAAAGTCCTGGCAGGAGCAGTCACAGCAGGACACCTCCCAGATGCCAAGAACGTTGACTTTCACAGCAATGCATCTGCACTACCTTAAAGGCGGCCATGCAAAACTGAATTTAGCATTACTCCTCGTGAAAAGCAGGCATGCCAAAATAGACTTCCATGGCCCTTCAAGTCGGCGGAACGGGCTTGGTGGTGTGGACTCATTGGTTAGAAAAAAATCAACCTAATGCAACCAAGTCCAACAAACTCTCAGTGTGGACCGGCCTGAGATTGTTCAGATGTGACAGGATCCTCTGGGTACAACCTGGAATTGTGGGACAGCTATGCCACCATAATTCCTCAGCCAGGACTGTCTCTCATAATGCTATGCCAGTGACAAACCCACCCCCACAGGCACTGAGATGACTCATTCATCAGCAATGGACAGAGAACAGTCCTTAACCTGAGCACTTCGACCAAAACCAAAACTGTCTTCAGGAACAGATTTGAAGTGATTGTAAGTAGGAGGCATGGTGATCAAAGTTGGTTATATAAATAAAAATAGAAACAGTCTAAACTCTAACTTCAACAGACTAAGCAAAATTTGAATCTAACAGCTTTTCTCTGTAACAGATGCTACAGGCAGCTCACTGCCCTTAATACACAGGCTGTACTCCCTCTGAGCCCAGGACCGAGCACCCCAGTTCAAAGGTTTTGTCTTCTGGATGTTTACAGTAAGGACGTTAAATATCGACTAAGGCACTTCCGCATTCCTCCTTTGAAATACACAAGAGCCCCCCCTGGGGAATGCAGAACTCCACATGCAGCTGGGGGCCAGCAGGAGGTCCCCCTGACTCTGGGCTGCACGCGGATGGATGCCAGCTTTGAAATGTACAAGAGTCCCCAGTGGAGGCTCTTGTGCATTTCAAAGTGGAAGCGCTCTCATAGAGCCTGGGGTCAGTGGGGGACAGAGTCTCCACTGACCCCAGGCTCCATGCTGTGCTGCTGCTTTGAAATGCCACTCAGAGCCCATGCTCCTCATGGCATTTCCCCAGAACCCGGGATCAGCTGGGAACTCCCCAGCTGACGCCACACTCCATGCAAAGGGGCAGCTCTGGATGGAGCCCCGAGGTCAGCTGTGTGGTGCTGCTTTGAAATACTCCATCATTCCCCCTTTGCTGTCTCTATCTGAGGCTAAACTACACCCCTCTGTTGGCAGAGGGATGTAAATGAAGCACTTTGAAAGTGCAAATGAAGCAGGGAATTAAATATCCCACGCTTCATTTGCATAATCGTGTCATGGCACTGTTTCGAACAAGTGCCATTTTGAAACTGAAACCGCCATTTAGACACTTTTTTTGGGGGGGGACAACGAGGCACTTTTTCGCAAAGACTACAGAAGAGAGAAATCGACTAGTTTTTATTTTCCAGGTGTTGAGATGGGGGAAGAGAAGAGGTGGAGTGGTGATGTTACTGCCCCTCTTTTATACTTTCCTCCAGATGCTAAAAAGATCCTTGCTGTGTCACATGCGTCAGGCTGCCTCTATAGTGTACCTGCTGTCTAAGGAGTCTCTGGGCTGGCCTTTGAGCGGGCAATAAAAATGATGGGGGGTTTGGAATGGGTCCCATCTGAAGAGAGATTAAAAAGACTGGGACTTCTCAGCTTAGAAAAGAGGAGACTAAGGGGGGATATGATAGAGGTCTATAAAATCATGAGTGGTGTGGAGAAAGTGAATAAGGAAAAGTTATTTACTTGTTCCCACAATAAAAGAACTAGGGGTCACCAAATGAAATTAACAGGCAGCACGATTTAAAACAAACAAAAGGAAGTTTTACTTCACTCAGTGCACAGTCAACGGGTGGAACTCCTTGCCAGAGGAGGTGGTGAATGCTAGAACTTTAATAGGGTTCAAAAAAGAGCTAGATAGATTCACGAAGGTTAGGTCCATCAATGGCTATTAGCCAGGATGGGTAGGAATAGTGTCCCTAGCCTCTGTTTCTCTGGAGGTGGGTGACAGGAGAGGGATCACATAAGGATTACCTGTTGTGTTTCCTCCCTCTGGGGCATCTGGTATTGGCCCCTGTCGGCAGACAGGATACTGGGCTAGATGGACCTTTGGTCTGACCCAGTATGGCCGTTCTTATGGATTCACCTTCCTAGATATCAATATGTATCTGGCTAGCCCTGACAAACATCTCATTAGGTCTTGATTGCCAATGAAAGGCAGGCTGTGGGCACCTCCCAAACTTACAACGCATTTCAGTAACATACATAATACTTCAATCAGTACAACGGTAACACGCACGGTTCAACAGGACCGTAATGTTCAACAAATCAAGATTTCTGAAACGATACCTTAACAAGAAACATTGGTGAATATGGAGGTCCAAGGTTCTATTTAGAGGTAGTGTGTTCCAGTTAGTATTAGTTTGCATTTTACTCTATATTTTGGCATACAACACCTGTCGTAAATGCGGACTCGAGTTATGACGCCCCTGACTTGCAACGCTATCCCTGGAACCAATCGCGTCGCAGGTCAGGGACAGCCTGTATTTTATCCTGACTAGCATGTTTAGATTCAAGTGTGTGGTGCCATATGAGGTAAGTCAGGCTGGCATATACTTTCTATGGGCTTGCCTTGGTCAGTAGCATACTAGACATTTCTGGAGGAACAAGGCTAGGACTAAGAAGTTGTAGGTGTCACCCTGTGTGGAATTTGTGAGTGACCGGTCAAAGTGCTCACGTATTTGCAGAGAGTGAATTGGCATGCTGAAAGTTGTGTACGCAGGCCAGAGGTGGATACTCTGATGGCATGGCAGTGTAAAAGGAACCCTAGACTGGAGAATTAAGGGGACAGATATTTAGCCGTTCAGCTGATACTCTGGGTCATGACACAACCAGATGCTTAACCTCCCTAAATGAGGAGGCTTGTGGGGTAGAACATTACAGCCATCAGCACTAGCACATCCATACAGGAAAGATTTTAAGAGAAGCAGAAAAACACTGCAGAGCTGCTTGCCAGGGTCTGAAAACAGTTCTGCCACAGGGCCCCAAAGCAGAAGTATGGGGAGAACTTCAACACCCACAACCACGGACCATGAAAAGGCACTTGAGGATTTTCCAAAGAGATGTTTTCCCTTTGGGAGTACGTATCTTCTGTACTCGCCGCAGGACAGAGCTATCTAGTACCTTTGGAGCGCCCCCTTCCTCTAAACTGCTGTCTCAAGTTCATCTGTTCCCTCCAGTCTGCGTTTGCCAAACATGCGGAGTCTGAAAAGGAGCTCACCCCTGCACTTGCTCACATGCGTTCAGAGGAAACACGACTTACTCAGATCCTGCAGCCATATCTGAGTAGGATGTATCTGGTGTGGTGACTCCCAGAGGGATTGCAATGCTCATGACGTCCGGCAGGGATCACGGAGTCCAAAAGGTAGCGACTGGTTGCTCCAAGGGCGGGGAGGAGCCGCAGAACCTCGACCAACACGTCACGGACATGGGGAAACCTAGCAGAACAAAACAAGATGCTGTTAACTTCTGTTACATGCACAGAGGTTCCTCACAGCTACTCCTTCCTTAGGGATTTCAGCAGCAGGCGAGAGTAAGCAGCCTTCCAGCCACCTGTGCTTGTTGCTCAACCACCACCCAGAGCCCCAAAGCCCAGCTTTACAATCTTGTCCCCACCTGCAAGGAGCCAAAGGACATTCAGTGCAGGTTACCAGACAAGCATGTCATTCCTTTGCATCTGATTACTAACAGCGGCTACCTAGTGCCACTGCCTTTCATGAACCTGACCCCATGCTCTCCCAAAACGCCAAAAGCCCATTCTGCACGGCAACTGGATAAGCATTCATACTCCAATCACATACACTGCTTGTGTCCAGCATGCGGGCAGATGATTTCTAGACCACAATCAAGGCTGCTCTTCACGAGACACCACCCCCTGATTTGTAATGATTACTTAGAGTTGAGCTCATTGACACAGAAGGCCCTAAGCTTCCCGGATCTCATCCCGCACCTTCTAACAGCCAAGCCAGGTCAGAGGTTACATTCCTTCCTAACGTGTCGATCCACGGAGGAACACTATAGCCTCACTAGCTCATTTCAGACCAAGAGGGTGGAATCAGGATCACTTCAAATGGACAGCAATTGTGGCTCACCACTCTGCAGTGCGAGTGAAGAGAACTCAAAGTCACACTTAAGCGCTACATTCACTGCTGCTCAAAAACTCTGCAAAGCCAGCACATGGAATTGATGGAAATGCTACAGACTGCTGAGGGGAGAATACTGAACTAGGTAGAGACCCCGGTAAATCCCTGCTTAAACCAACTTGGGAATATAAAAGTTAGTGCAGGAGAAAGGTATTGGTGGTATCTTAGGAGAGAATATAACCATCCATGAAGCTGGCAGAAGGCTCTAAAGGAAATAACTCTAAAGTATCACAAAGAACCCTCTTATTTAACTTTTATTTTATGCAAATCCTAGGAAGTTTGGTGCCCCACTGCTGCATGTCACAGATGCACACAGACAGAACAGGCGCCCAATGGGAGAACACACGCCGTTGACAGGGCAGGAAAGCCTTGACTTGTTCAATAACTCAGGCCCTCTGAAGACATTTTTCACAGTTTAGCCAAATATCTTGGGTCTGGAATCCAAGGGACTCCCTTATGGCAGCGTTTCCCAAAGTGTGGGCCGCTGCAGGGAAAAAATACTGGGCCTCCGCATGGCTGCCAGGGCGTTGCAGGCTCCCGGAGTGCCGGTGCAGCGCCAGGTCCACCAAGCCCTGGGCCGGGCTGGGCAGAGGATGCAGCCAGATGTTCCGGGCTCGCAGGAGAGGCGTAGCGAGGGCGCTGGGCTCATCTGGGCTGAAGGAGGAGGAAGGTGCTGGGAACCCAGTGCTGGACTCAAGGGGAGGGAGGGGCAGGGAATCAGCACTGGCTCAGCACATCTGCACGGTTTGGGGGAAGGTGCAGGGAAACGGAGCTCAGCTGGGCTGCGAGAGTGAAGAGGTGCAGGGGACTGGGCTGGGCTGCGGGGGGAGGAGGAGGAGGAGGAGACGCGGGGCTCAGAGCTACAGAAGGAGGGAGGTGCTGGGAACGCAGGGCTAGACTCAAGGGAGAGGCAGGAAATCAGAGCTGCGCTCAGCAGTTTTGCAGGGCTTGGGGGGAGGTGCAGGGAAACATGGCTCAGCTGTGTTGTGGGGGAGGCATGCAGGGAACCAGTGCGGGGCTCAACTGGGCTGAGGTGGATGGGGGAAGGCATAGGGAACAGAAGGGCAGCTCCGTTAGGCTGTAAGGGGCTTCAGGAAACTGGTGCTGCACTCCCTTGGATTGTGGGGGTTGGTTTTGGGGTAGGTGCAGGGACCCAGCGGGGTTGGACAGCTCAGTTGGGTTGCAGGGGTGATTCTGGGGGAGGTGCAGGGACCCAGCGGCTGGGGGCAGCTCAGTTGGGCTGCAGGGGAGGGAGGTGCAAAGAAGTCTAGTGGGAAGAGGGGAACCATGAGCCCTGAAATGACCTCCCCTGGTCCAAAGAAATCCCTCTTCTGGGACCAGTCAGGTCCAGAGGGTGCCAGACCAGGAAGGTCCAACTCCTACCCAAGTCCCCTCCTTGCACCCTCCCTCCTAGCCAGACACCCTACCCCCAATCTGCTCCTGCTCCCGCCTCCCAGAGTGTCCATGCGGCACCAAGTCCCCCAAGCCCTGGCCCAGGCTGGGCGGAGGATGCAGCCGGATAAAACAGTGAAAATTTATTCATTTTTCATTTTTTTTCTATGCGTTTATATTTTGGGGCTGCAAAAGACAGTACTGAAAAAAACCGGGATCCAGCTAAAGTAACAAGTTTGGGAAACCCTGGTCTTGGGTCCATTTATCCAATCCACATTCCCTTAACTTGCTGGCAAGAATATTGTGGGTGACCGTATCAAAAGCCTTGCTAAAGCTGACACTGGGGGCTTTGGGAGGGACCAGAAACAACTTATTTGCATATTCAACATTTGCTTAATGAATATGCACATATGTAAATGAATGCTACCAGTCCTCCAAAAGCTCGTGAATGGAGTTACTAGTCCCAGTGTCAAAAAGTTTGGGAACCCCTGCCTTATGGCTTGGCAAATATCAGCTCAAAACTGACATTGTCTTAGAGGCACACTGACTCCTGAGTTGTTTCAGGTATGTGCTCAGTGAAGGCTCTTAGGCTACCCACCAAGCTCTACATCAGTAGTGATTGTCCCGTGTACTTTCCATGAGCTGGTCTGATACGAAAGCAGGCTTTGCAGTACACTCTGCTCTGCACTAGTCCTCCTATTGCTCTCACCCTTCATAAAGAACCCATCTTTGCCCTGACCAGTATCTTGTGAGAGGTGTGCCTGCAAATGTGCTAGAGGTAAGAGCACCACATGGAAGAGAACAGACTTACTGCCACCACACAGCCAGCTCTGGTTATTTAATAATAGTAATATATGGAGCTATACCATCTCATAGAACTAGAAGGGACCTTCAGAGGTCATGGAGTCCAGTCCCCTGCCCTCACAGCAGGACCAAGTACCATCCCTGACAGATTTGCCCCAGATCCCTAAATGGCCCCTCAAGGATTGAACTCACAACCGTGGTTTAGCAGACCAATGCTCAAACCACTGAGCTCTCCCTCCCCCATTTCTTACCATGCTTCAAAGAACTACCCAAATGGAAGGGAAACGGAGGAAAAAACCAAGCACACAAAGGCAACCCATCAAATGCAAATCTAGCTGGTTGTTCAGGAAGAACAGGTAACAGAAGACCGGGATCTTTATTTACAGCGTCTCCTTTTACACAGTAATAGAGATGTAGCCATGTTAGTCTGGTCTTGCTGAAACAAAAGACAGGACTATGCAGCACTTTAAAGACTAACAAGATGGTTATTATGTGATGAGCTTTCGTGGGCCAGACCCACTTCCTCAGATCAAATGGTGGAAGAAAATTGGTATGATCATATATACCAAAGGGAGACAATCAAAAAAAGCGAACACATCAAATTGACAAATTGACTTTTACACAGCCTCTTCTGCTACTTACATGGTTGAAACTTCTGGAGAAAAGGGAACCACTGGAATGGCCAGGCTGGGTCAGACCAAAGGTCCATCTAGCCCAGTATCTTGTCTTCTGACAGTGGCCAATACCAGATGCCCCAGAAGGAGTGAACAGAACAGGGAATCATCAAGTGATCCCTTTCCTGTCATCCATTCCCAGCCTCTAACAAACAGAGTCTGGGGACACCATCCCTGCCTATCCTGGCTAATAGCCATTGATGGATCTAACCTCCATGAATGAATCTAGTTCTTTTTTGAACCCTATTGAAGTCCTGGTCTTCACAACATCCTGTGGCAAGAAGTTCCACAGGCTGACATCATTTGGTTGACCAAATGAAGGATAACACATGTGAAACTGAAAAGACAATAAAACTGGGTGTCTCCTCCTCTGGCTAGGAGGGTTCAACCCCAATGACTGAAGACCGTCTCTCTTCAAATTCTCATCAGTTTTGCTCATAAGCAAAGTCATTTCTCCAAGGGGAGATCTTCCATCCAGGTCTGAGACAAGTAGGCTGATCAACTTCAATGGCTATTACTGGCCATCAGAGTTCTTGCTGTTCCACCTGATGCACCACTGGCAGCTTTAGAGGAGGGAAGGAGGGAGGGGCACGCAGTACCCTGCAACAGTGCGTACCTACAGACTGTGACCCTGAGGATGGTGGCTCTTGCTACTTTTCTTTGAGCCTCCAGGAAGGAATCGAGCAAGAGAAGCATGCGCTCCCAAAAGATGAGCTGATCCTATCAGCCAGGAAGATCTGAGCACTGGCACCATGATTCCTAGTGTACCTGAGTGCCTCTTTCTGCTCACTGTGTTGAGCTTTTTGGTTTCTGTTGTATAGAGTGATCATCGTCGTCATTGGAGACCCCTCGAACTGAGGTTGTTCTCTGCCACAGATTTACCAATGGGCCTGAGAAGACCAATTCTGGAACCATACATGTGCCCACAGTAGCCACAGACGTTTGCTGATGGGTCAGCTGCCCGATGGGAGAAAGTGTGTTGCTTTTTTTTCCTTAGCAATTAACCCTCAAGACCTAGGCTGTAGAGACAGCCAGAAAACCAGAGCTAGAAATATGCAAATCCCTGCTGTGGGGCCTGATACAAGCAATGTGCCTTCTCAGTGGCAGAGGTCAGGTCAGTGGATATGTGCCCAGCAGCGTTCAGCATACTTTAGTTGATGTGTGAAGACACTTTCCCTTTTCTTTTTGGTCACTAGCGCCAAACATTCAATTATCTGAAAAAAAAAAATGTTGCATGCCTTTGGTTTTGGTTATTCAAAATGTGTTGCTCATGTCCATTCCAACAGGTGCGCCTGCACCACACGCGCTGTACCCAGAAGGTTTTCCACTTGCAGTACCTCTCAGGTCGGCTCATGTGCCCCCAGGAGTTGCGCCTTCACGGCACCATATACAAAGTCCTGTTGCCCCGTCAATTCCTTCTTGTTG